AAAAAAAAAAAAAAAAAAAAGGACAGAAGTCTGGACTCTTATATGTGGTCTCTTAACTTGGAAAGAAGGCCTGAACAGTTTTGTTTGAAAACATTGTATAGGCAAAACCAAATGTTTCCTGCAAGCCAGGTGTGGGCTGTCCATTTAAGCACCTTGGTCCCAGCAAAACTGAAAAATGTTCTGTGATATCTAATGACTCTCAAGCCTTCTTTTTCCCTATGGGCTCCTGAGCACAATGCCTACGTAGACACTAGTTATTAATAAAACAATACTAACAACAGCATGATTATCTGATCTTCAAACATCATCGTATTTTCAAAGTACTAAAAGATCTAAACTTCAAAAGCATTGAAATTGCTCAAAAGAACACAGAGATTCAAAGTGGAAGTACCTTAGTTCACAGTAGAGGGGATAGCGACGGTAGGTAACAAACATGTTCACATAGGGTCTCTAGAGTATTTGACTCTAGATGATGTATTTCCTGTGTGTTGAACTGTGTCTCTACTCAAATTGGTCCAAAGAGTCTTTTCCAGCCATGTTCCCCCATCCTGTACTCTACGGTGCTGACTTTTGTTCTCTCAGAAGACATTTGTCAACATTAGGAGACATGTCTTCTTGTCAGGCAAGCATGGGAAAGGAGAAGCTGGGAGTTTTACAACTTCATTGGAAGGCTACTAAGAGAATACTGGCTTCCAAGTAGTTATGATGAGGGTCTTAAAGCCCACACCCACAGTGACACACCTACTCCAACAAGATCATACCTTCTAATAGTGCTACTCCCTGGGCCAAGCATATACAAACTATCACAGCAGCAGAGAGAGATGGCTTAGTTGATACAGTGCTTGCTGTACAACGCATAATAACCTAAGTTCCAATCCCCAAGACCCATGTAAAAAGCCAGTCATGCCAACACATATCTGCAATCCCAAAGCTTGCAGGTAACAGCAGAGAGTTCTCCCAGGACCCCACTGGCCATCCAGACTAGCCAATCAGTGAGGTCAAGGTTCAGTGAGAAACCTTTCAAAAACTATGGGGCAGTGATAGAAGAAGCATCCAGCATTGAACTTTAGCTGGTACATTTGTACCCATAATCATGTGTGCACACACATGCACACACATGTACAAACACACACAAGGTAAAGATAGCACATTAGGATATGCGTTTATACAGTTGCCAGCCAGGAACTGGGGAGCCCAGATGAGTGTTCAGAAAATTCGTTGACTGGCTTGAGGCAAAGTTTCCAACCATTCAGATTCCAGCAAGACGTTTGGGAAGCGTCTCTGGATATAATTCCTCTCTTCTCATCCCTTTGTTCTTCTGCTCCTTGTCAGACATGGGCTCCAACTCCTAGCTATTTCAAGAGACTCACCTTCCCTGGCTCTCAGAATGCAGAGAGCTCTCTCTCTCATACTCTCCTTCTGTCCATCCTCAGGTCTCTTTGTCTCTGTGCCTTTCCATCCTTCTGCCTCCTAGCAGACTCCTTCTTGGCTCTGGTTCCTTCTGGCTGTAGTTGCTATGCCTCCCACTCAGCCATGACTGGCATCTTCCTCTTGGTTAGCCTCTTACATGGAGCTTTATTATATTGAGAGACTTTTGGTCTCTTTCTGAGAGTCATGCTGCACTTGTCTGTAGCTTTAATGTAACCTCAATCATCAACGGACGAGAGAAAGAATGGCTTTGTGTGCATGTACATGCATGTATATGTTCATGTATACATGTGTTTAAGCATATGTGGAGACCAGAGGACAGTCTCAAAGGTTATTCCTCTCTGCCACTGGTTTTGGACACTGGGTCTCTTATTACACTAGAAGCCACCAAGTAGGCTACACCAAGAAGCCTGATGGATCCACCCATCTCTGCCTCCACAGTGCTGGGATTTCAGGTGCATGCCACCACTTCTGGCTTCTTCTGCCTGGGTTCTGGCAGGAGAAACTCAACTCCTTTTAATTACACAGCAAGCACATTACTCAGTGGGATGTCTCCTCAGGCCCCGAAGAACATCTTTGGGAACATAGCTTTCCACACTTCCACAGGGTTTCAAGTATGCTATAGATTGATGCATATTTTTTTTATAGCAAATGATTGGAAACAGATTTGGGGACAAGAACAGCAGCACAGAGGGCCAGGGGCTGCAAAGGCATAGACAGGGAGGGGCTGGCCCCAGAATTCCTTCTAGAAACTCTGCTTGAAGATGCTAGAGCCACTGCAAGGCGTTCCCCCACTCTGTGACCTTTGCTCTGGGAGAGGTCTCTGTGTTTTGCAAAGTGTTCACCCCACCTGAGTGTGCCAGGCCTAGAACAGACATGTGAAGGAGGAGCTGTAAGTAACACATGTAAGTTCAACACCAACAGGAGGCCTGAAATACAGTCCTGGTGAACACAAGTGTGTTTGTGTTCCTTTGTTGTTGCAGTCAAGTTAGACAATGAAAAGCTACCCGTGGTAAGCTTTACACATAAGGCCACAGCATGTGGAGTCTGCTTACCACACAGTTTCAAAATCCTGGCCTAGCATCGCCGGAAGAGCTGGAAGCCATCAACCGTTTCCTATCACTGCTGTCAACTAGCCCATAGTGTCGAGTTGTTCTGGATGCTTTTCAGGGGTCTGGAGGCCTATGGCCATGTTTGTGGATCAGGTTCATCAGCAAATTCATATCTCCTTAAGACGTACAAATATCGGGCATGCTGCTTTTGCTTTTGATTTATACGGGCTGGGGGTCTCAGCATTTGCCTTCTCTGGTATACAGCCTTAAGGAAGTCAGTACAGATGGAGACCATGAAGGCATGAGGTCATACCCTCTAGAACACCCACAGCTCACTTTGACAGAGCTTGTCAACATTGCTCTACTCCGAGACACTGGGGTAGCCTGAAGTGCCCTGGCTAAGAGTCAGCTGGGTCTTCCAGCATGTGAGCAGCAGCAGCCAAAGAAGGAAGAAACAAGGATGGCCCATTTCCAGGTCTCCAGCCAGCTGGGAGGGAGGGCTCAGGGAGGCTCAGCATGCCTCTGGCTGACTTTCTTCTGGTTAGTTGCTAGGATTTCTTCAAGGCCCTCCCAGAAAGGTTTAAGGAAAGAAAATGGAGTTCCTTAAAGCAACAGGGAAAGAGATGCCGGGCAGACATGGTGACTTTTAATTATCTTTAAGGATAATTAAAGGATAAATTTGTCCCTCAACCCTGAGAAACATGACATGCATGTGACATGCTATTTCTAGGAGCTCCTCTCAAGTCCTGCAGAGCCCAAGGTCTGGGGAAAAGGTATAGAGAAGATTGACCTCACTCTCCATTTGTGCAGTGCCTTTACAAAGAATGGCACTTATTCAATGACACTGCCTAAAAGTGTTGTCTGAATGATATGGGCTGTAACTTAGTTTTATTTTATTATTTCTATTAGAATATGTTAATTAAAAATTAAAATGGGCTTCATTATGAAAATTTCACCCAATTGCCCTCTCTTGCCCTCTCCTACCCCAAAGGATCGATCCCCTTCCTTTCCCTGATAGCCCTCTTCTACTGCTTGCGTGTGTGCCTGTGTGTGTATGTGTGCATGTGTGAGTGAGTGCCCGCATGCATTCGTGTGTACGCACGCGTGTGATGTGGTTAGAGTTTCATTAGTGTTGCTTACAGGAGCATGGGTGAGAAGTTATTTACAGACGTAAATGGTGAGCTACACCACTGAAGAAAATATTTCTCTCCCACCAATCATTAATTTTTGTACAGCTCCTCAGAGAGGGGCGGGGCTTGTTAGCTACTCCTCTCCTCCATCACCAGAGGCTGACTGGCTTAATCTTGTGCAACAATACTACAGGTCATCACAGCTTCTGTGCATTCAAGAGTGCCATAGCCACACCCTACCCAGAAGGTTCCGGCCAAGAAACCCTCCTCATCCTCTGACCTTTGGATTCCTTCTGTTCTGCCCTTTCTTTCACAATCTTCCCTGAGCCGTGGAAGGGGTCATAGGATGTCTTCTTTGTGGCTGAGCACCCAAAAAGTCTTGGTTTTAGCTTTGCCCAGTCATGAGTCTCTGTAATTACTGCAAGAAGAGGCATCTCTCACTAGAGCTGACAGCAACACTAAATCAGGGACATAAATGTAATTATTTAGAAGGCAATTGACAGCGCATCACGTCCACCGCTGCCCAGGTGGCAAGCGGGCAGTGTGTGAGTAAGACTGTTGCTGACAATTCTCCTCACCTGCAGAGCACATTCCATCAGCATGGACGTGGGCCGGGAGCTTCCAGCTCAGATCCAACTTGGTCTCCCTAGGTCCTGCAGCCAAAATTATCATTATGGTGTCTTTAGTCAATAGTCATGTGGCAACCTACCACAGCAACAATTGCCTGTATTATTTTACTTTGAAGAGGCGGGTCTTGGAAGTCCTCCTAACCAAAAACTCACAGGGAGGAGGCCCACCCCATCACTGAGATTTTCATTTTGTTACTTGTGGTTTGTGAGGCCAGCTTTACCCACCTATGCAGGATACTGTTTTTAGACTCTGTAATTTTTGTTTCACTTCTTAGTTGGCTTACCAAGTATCATGATTGCTTGCACCTTTTTCATATGTCCTTGGCTTTCACTAACCCCTCAAACCATCCTCTCTCCCATCTCTCTGCTCTGCCCACCCTCTCCACTTAAGCCACGCCCCCATGTCCTTCCTGCTGCTTTCACAAGTTCTAGTACCCTCCCCTCCTCCACTCTCAACCACTCTACCCCGTCCCCACCACAGTCCCTTTCTAGTTTCCTGGCTCTACACATACTCACTCCCACATAAACATACACATGTAAAAAAAATTAGCAGCTGGGACCTGCAAATAAAAGAGAACATACAATGTTTGTCTTTCTGAGTCTGGGTTACCTCACGTATCAGACAGTTTTCCAACTCCATCCATTTTCCTGCAGATTTAATACTTTCATGTTTATAAATGGCTGGATTAAGTTTCATCGTATACGTGCACTGTATTTTTTAAAGATTTGATTTTGTATTATGTATATATGTATGCATCTTGCTCCACATCTTCCTTACCCATTCTTCAGTTGATGAACACCCAAGCTGATCCCATTCCTATCTACTGGACATAGAGCTACAATAAAGATGCAAGTATCTGGGTAGTAGGAGAGAGTCCTTTGGGAATATTTCCAAAACAGCATATCTGGGTCATGTGGTTGTTCTAGATTTTGGTTTTAGGAGAGACTTCTGCATTGATTTCCATAGTAGATACATCAGTTTACTTCCCACAGTGAGTAAGCTGTTTCCATTTCTATACCCTTGTCAGTATTTGTTTACATTGTAGTAGGAATTCTGACAGGGAGAGAGGGAGTCTCAAAAACTTTTAATATGCATTTCCCTGGTAGCAAATGATGCTGATCACTTTTTAAACGTTTACTGGCTGTTACCTTTGTATGTTTGTTTGTTTGTTTGGTTGGTTGGTTGGTTGGATGGTTGGTTGGTTGGTTGGTTGATTGGTTGGTTAGTTGGTTAGTTGGTTGGTTGGTTGGTTAGTTGATTGGTTGGTTGGTTAGTTGATTGGTTGGTTGGTTGGTTGGTTAGTTGATTGGTTGGTTGATTAGTTGGTTGGTTGGTTGGTTGGTTGGTTGGTTGGTTGGTTTTTCAAGACAGGGTTTCTTCTCAAAGTGGTTGTCCTGCAACTCACTTTGTAGATGAGGCTGGCCTTGAACTCATAGATCCACCTGCCTCTGCCTCTTGATTGCTGAGATTAAAGGTGTGTGGCACCACTGCCCTGACAATACTTTTTATTTTGAAAATTATTTGTTTAGATCCAGAGATCATTTTTAATTGGGTTGGTTTTTTTTAAGTCTTTATAGTAATCCTTTGTCAAGTGTATAGCTGACAAACATTTTCTCCCACCTTGATCCCTTAACTCAATTAACTGTTTCTTTGCTGTACAATGTTTTAATTCTATGGGGTCTGATTGTTTCACTTAAATTTCTGAGTGACTGGACTTCTGGTCAGGGAGTCTTTACCTATGTCTATATTTTTTAATGTTTTTTCCTAATTTTTCCTATATTAGTTGCAGAGTTTAGAGTCTTACATTAAGGTCATTGAAATATTTGAATTTGATTTTGTGCAAAGGGGTCTAGTTTCATTCACCTAACCTGTAGAAATCTAGTTATCTTTATGTGCAGGCTGCTATCTTGCTAATGTGTACTTTGGCATCTTTATTAAAGATCTTGAGGCTATAGCTGTGTGGTTTATACATAGATACTCTATCCCAGCGGTTCTCAACTTGTGGGTTGTGATCCCTTAGGGGTCACATATCAGATATCCTGCATATCAGGTTCATAACAGCAGCAAAATTACAGTTATGAAGTAGCAACAAAAATAATTTTGTGGTTGAGGGTCACCATAACACGAGGAACTGTGTTACAGGGTCTCAGGATTAGGAAGGTTGAGAACCACTACTCTATTCTACTCCATTGATCTACCTTGTTTGTTTTAGTGCCAGCTCCATGTTGACTTTATTACTCTATCTCTCTGGTATGACTTGAAATCAGTCATAATGGCTTCTCCAGCATTATTCTTTGCTCTAAGGAATTCCTTGGCTCATTGGTCCTTTCATGAATTTTATCTTTATTTCCTCAAGAAATGACATTGGAATTTTGATGGGGACTGCACTGAATCTGTAGATTGCTTTTGGTAGGATGGCTATTCTCATAATATTAATCCAATCCACGAGAGGTCTTTCCGTCTTCTGACATCCTCCTCTGTTTGTTCAGTAATTCAGAGCTCCGCAGTGGAGATCTTTACTGTCTTCTTTAGCTTTATTTCAGGGTTGCTTTGTTTCTTGAAGGTGATGTAAATGGGACTGTGTTCCTGGTTTCCCTTTCCATGTTTGTCACCGATATACAGGAAGGCTACCGATTTTTATATGTTTATCATTTTTCTGTATGTGTTTATCAACCTGCAGCATTTTCTGGTGGAATCTTTAGAGTTCTCTATGTATAGAATCATATTGTCTATAGATAGGGATGACTTTGCTTCTTTTCCTATTTCTCTTTTACCTTATCACTCTAACTCAGGCTTCAAGCATTCTACCAAGTGGAGAGAGTGAATAGCCTTCTCTTGTTCCTCATCTTAGAAGAAACATTTTGAGTTTCTCCAATGAATGAGCTTGGCTGTAGATCAATTACATTGGAGTGTGTTCCCACAACTCATAGACTTTTATCATAAATGGATGTTGGATTTATGTCTATGGCTTTGAGTCCATTTGTGTGCCCTATTGCATTTATGGATTTGCATATGTTAAACTATTTCTGTGTCTCTGGAATGACACCAACATGATCCTGATAAGTGGTATTTTTTGATATGTTCAAGAACTTAGTTTGCAAGTATTTTACTAATAATTTTTGTGTCTGTTTTCATCTGGGATATTGATCTGTTGTTATCTTCTTGTTGTATCTTTTGCCATATACTTAAAATAAGAGTCACATGATGACAGGATTTAGAAGAAAAGAAAGCAGAGAGATGGCTTGGTGGCCAAATACTAATTGGTGACTAAGAAGAGAAGAGAAACTGGATGGATGTAGCAGAGGACTAAATGGAGGACCTCTGAGAGTGTGACTCACAGGCCGACTGCAGGCTCTTTTTCCCCTCCACATTTGATGGATTTCTGACGTGATCTTAGAGGTCCAGAAAAGGGGAGTTTGGTGGCAGATAGGCATCTTTTCTATATCTGGGAGCCCCAGAAAAAGGGTTTGAAATGCCTGTTCAGTGAAGCCCTAGTTTGGGGAGTGTCCTGTAGAGCCTGCTGTGGCCTGGGATGAAAGGTCGAGCAGCTAGGTAAGAGAGAGCACTCTGCAGCTCCCACAGGAGGGCAAATGTGGTGTGGAGGATGGAGGCCTTCTGTGACTGCCACAGGCAATCTCTGGAACATCCCCTCTTGACCCCTCTCTTCTCAGTGCTCAGTGACCTGTGGAAAGGGCTACAGGCAAAGGCTGGTCTCCTGCAGTGAGATTTATACCGGCAAGGAGAATTATGAATACAGCTACCAAACAACAGTGAACTGCCCAGGCACACAGCCGCCCAGCGTCCATCCCTGCTACCTGAGGGACTGTCCTGTCTCGGCCACCTGGAGAGTTGGTAACTGGGGCAGTGTAAGTAGAGGGTTTGGGTTGTCAGCCCTGAAATCTCAAACCTTCTATGAACCCTCCTGCCTGCTTACAACTTGGCATGGCTGATAGAAACAGAACTGGTTATCTAAATCCAAATAGCTAAAAGTTCATCTTGCTTCATCCAGGGAAACTGTAAGTCACCAAGATTTGTCCTCCAGTTTTTCATTTATATTCTGGATGGCTGTGAAGATGAAATGAGTTAATATATCAAGAGCATTTAGATTATTGTGGCTGGTTTTATGTTACATTTTCCTATTTTTTTTCTACATTTTTACTACATTTTTTTTTCAACAAGCCTTTAGCATCTGACATCTTACAAGAGATGCACAGGATGCATTTTGGTTGCTTCCATTGTTGAAGACACTGTGCTCTAGTCTGTTTCTGTAGAGAGAACTTTGTTTACTTGGGACACAAAACAGAAGTCTAAAGTGAGTATGTTTGGAAAACCCATTGCCACAGTCTTCTGGCTTTGGGCTATGAAGCTCTCAGGCAAAAGTGTGTGATGTGATGAAAGTCATTAGGATTTGAATCCCAAGTTCGTGAGGACCTTGAACACATTCCTTAATCTGAGCCCAGGTCTTCGATCTGTAAAACAAGCAATGGCAGTACTATCTCATGGGGTTACTATGCAGTTTAAATGGGGGAGAGTGTATATGTAAGTACAGTATGGCCCATGTGTATAAATGTTTTATATAGAAATGCATATTATACATAGAGATGTATAGTATGTATGTTTCATATATATGTAAATATATATGGATATATAACTCTGAAGTACATATAGGTAACGCTTAACACAACAGCCAGTCTTAGTAAGAAATCAGTGAATGCCAGTCCCTTGTTGCAGAGCCCAGGACTCCGTGCTTCGTGTCATCATATACTCATCTTTCTCAGGTTCCAGAGCCACCCACTGACTCTGCTTTTCCCTCCAGTGCTCAGTGTCCTGTGGCGTTGGAGTCATGCATAGATCTGTGCAGTGTTTAACTAATGAAGACCAACCCAGCCACTTATGTCCCACTAATATAAAGCCAGAAGAAAGAAAAACCTGTCACAATGTTTATAACTGTAAGTCACTCAACTGAAGCCTTCTTTGTCTGTCACAGAGGACAAATGTCTCTGTTGATCTATTGGTCCATACTTTTTAGAGATTTAGTAATTCTCTGTGTGTCTGTGTGATATGTTCATGTGGGGGTGAAGGGGGTGTCTGTACCTGTATGCTCAAGTTTTTGGAAGACAAAGATTGATCTCAAGTATCGTCCTCAACCCCCTCTACCTTCCTGATGAGACAAAGTTGTTCACTGTACCTAGAGTTCACTGATTCACCAAACTGACTTGCCAGTGGATTTTCATGTCCTTCTGTCTCCACTCCCAAGCTCTGAAATTACACAACACACATCCACACCCAGCTTTTCTGTGTGCGTCCTGGGGTCCAAACCCAAGTCTTCATGTTTGTCTGGCAAACACGTTATTGACTGAGCTATCTCCCTCTCTTTGTCTCTCTTCCCCCCACCAAGTTCGCTCTCTCTCTTTAATCTACCTCTTAGGCAGTTAGTGCAGACAGTGAGGTATATTCTGTTGGTAGATACTGAACATCTGAGACTATTTCATCCATTTTTATGACTTGCATTTCCTAGGTGAGTTACCCCAGAACTGCAAGGAGGTAAAAAAACTCAACAGCGCCAGCGTTGATGGGGAATATTTCCTGGCTGTCAGGGGGAAGCCACTAAAGGTGAGTATTGAAGTCAGTTGTTGTTTGTAGAATATTGTCAAGGTAATCTCATCACTCCTTCTGAGCGCCTCTGTTGGGTCCTTCCTTGTGTATCTTGCAGGTATTCTGTGCAGGGATGCATTCTGACTATCCCAAGGAGTATGTGACACTGGCCCATGGTGACTCAGAGAACTTCTCCGAAGTTTACGGGCACAGGTAAGAGGCTTGGTCCCAGAAGAGCTTAGCTGCCTGGAGGTTCCTAGAGCAAACCATCCTATTCTTACCAGAACACTATCTCCATGGCTTAGATTGCACAATCCAACAGAATGTCCCTACAACGGAAGCCGACGAGATGACTGCCATTGCCGGAAGGATTACACAGCTGCTGGCTTTTCCAGTTTCCAGAAGATCCGAATAGACCTGACCAGCATGCAGATTATAAGTAAGTTCAGGGAGGTATCTCACAGCCATGAACACATCCTCAACACTCAGAGGACACAGGTCCTTTGAGTATGTAGGTACAGAAGGAAAGTCACACAGGGTGATCACAGTCCAACAGTGACAACCCCACCATATGCTTAACAGACCAAGGCCAAGCCTTTGTCCTTCGAGTTCAGTGGGGAATTCCAGGGTCTATAGTGTGGCTGCTATAGGTCAGGTCTTCATCAGGTTTCCATTGAATGGTAAAAGGAAATAGATAAATATTTGCTCATGGAAGTTTCACCAACCAAGGTGGCATCCTAGTAAGCATGGTCTTGGGATCAGGACCTTAAGGTTATGAAGGGATTAGACACTGGGTGTCTATACAGAGAAAGCAATAGAGCAGAAAGAAGTTTCTAGAGCAGAAGAGACAGCAGCTAGGAAACCCTGTAGCAAAGACATTTGTAAAGTACATTTGCCTCCAGATGGTTCTTTGCAGCACAAAGCACACATACACACATAGGCAGAAAACTAATTTTATCTGATTGTTGATTTATGGGAGAAAAATGGATCCAGAATTACCTTTCCTAACAAACCTGAGCATGGTCTGATTTCATCCTCTGGCCAGTACTCTGGTTCTGCTGGCCACATTAATCATTGCTGCTGGTAAAGCTAGCTAAAATATCTAAACACATTCTCTTAAATAGCTGAAGAACAGAAATAATGAAGAATTAATTTTTTTTCTCATTAACATTGCACCCATAATATTATCCTGGTTCTCTCTTGAGTTAGATTAAATGTGATTTATACTGAGGATTTTTTTTTGTTTTTTGTTTGTTTGTTTGTTTTTTTATTTGCTGTCAGCAATAAAATAAGGGCTAGATGCAGTGTGGGTCTACAGTTTCTTTGTTAAGAAAAATGTCCCAGCTTTAGATCATGGTGGGGGGCATCATGACTCTGTCTCCCTAGCACACATTGCCTCTAATCCTACCCAACTGAGGACCTATAGGCAGTTAAATTGCTAAGGGAGGGAGACATATTTTCTTTAGTGGTGTAGCCACGGATAAGTTGCCTTTTAAATAACCCCTCAACCGTGTTCCTGTGAGGGCCTGTAATGAAACTTATCGGGTCCGACACATAGAAGGTGATGTACTTGGGAAAGGGAAAAGGATAAGTGGACATAGGATGGGGGAGAAGAGAGGGTAACAGGGTAAACATGTCCAAAAGATACCATGTGAGTGCCTATGTGTGGGTGAAGATGCCATGAGCCACCATTATATATAAATAAGATTCACTGATGACAACTTTAAAAAGAGAAAGACCACAGCAAAGAGGTCCTGAAGTGACCAAAGATATATTTGCTTGAAAATGGGAATCCCAAATCTTTTCCCCACAAGAGCAGAGCTTGCTGTGGGAAGTGTTAGGTCTGCCGCTGTTCCTGAAGGGGCAGAAAGCTAGAAACCAAAACCAACCAACCAAAAGCCCTACCCATCCCCCAGAGCCACCATCTTCAGCCCTTCTGCAGCCTGCCAGTGATCCCCCTGTGAGTGTGTGGAGCTGCAAGGAGCAGCAACAAAGGGGTTAAAAACAACTGCGGGTCGCCATTGTTTTATGGCTTTTTTTTTTCATTTTAAACTATAAGCTAGCCCCGAACTTGAGAAATTGCCATTAATAATTTCAAGATGTGCATTCTAATTGTTCTACATTCTGGCAGGAATAGGCAGTAGGCCACAGGAGGACAGAAGAAACTTTGGGGATAGCCCCTAAGTGGCTGGAAATACTTCCCTGGCTTCTTGCCCTGTCCTTCAGCTGGGGATGCAGGGTAATAGGAGGTTCACCAGTGCTCAATTACACTGCGCTTAAGTGGGTCCTATTTATGTAGGAATCAATTCTAAGGTCATGGTAAACCTCTTCTTGGCTCCCATACTCTGCAGAGACAGTCAGTCAGTGCTGATAAAGCCCAGGGAAAGCTCTCAGAACCACAGATGTAACAGGGAAAACACCAGAGCACATCTGGATCCATTTGCTCACTAATAATTCAAGTTATTTCTTTCTCTCCCATTCCTCCTCCTCCTCCTCTTCCTCCTCCTCCTCCTCCTCCTCTTCCTTTTCCTTCTTCTCCTCCTCCTCCTCCTTCTCCTCCTCCTTCTCCTCCTCCTCCTCCTCCTCCTTCTCCGTCTCCTCTTCCTTTTCTTTCTTCTCCTCTTCCTCCTTCTCCTCTGTCTCCTCCTCCTTCTCCTCCTTCTCCTCCTTCTCCTCCTTCTTCTCTTCCTCCTCTTCTTCCTTCTCCTCCTCCTCTTCCTCCTTCTCCTCCTGCTTCTCCTTTTTCTTCTTTCCTCTTCTTCCATCTCTTTATTAATAACCTGTCCCTTCCCTACTTCTCTCCCTGTTTCTTTCTTCCTCTCCCTTTAACCCTTTCCCCACCCCACAGCCACTGACTTAGAGTTCGCAAGGACAAGTGAAGGACATCCTGTTCCTTTTGCCACCGCTGGGGACTGCTACAGTGCTGCCAAATGTCCACAGGTATGTCCTCGAGCCTTACCCCTTACCAGGAACCCTCTACTCACCCTGCTTCCAAGGCCGCTCTGCCCATTGTTCCTGTAGATAGAATTAAAACAATTGATCACTGGACAGTTTAGCTGCATTATATCCAGGGCCTCACTAATACTTTTGGAGTATGACCCAGAAATTTGATACCTAATAAATTCTCATAGTTGCAGGCCTAACTTTTATTCAGCAAGATGCATCAGGTATAATGGTCAAGACTTATGAACAAATCAGATGTTGGAGGCAATGACTTGGTTCAATAAATTATGACTCAATAAATGAATACTGCAGTTAGTAGCATGTTGGATAGTGTATATGATGGACTTTTCATCAACAAAATTCAGGCTTTGTAGCCTTTTCTCATTTCTATGGTATGAATATTCTCCCCATAACTGATTTAAACTGTCACCAACAGTATGTAACTAAATGAGAAGAAATGAATAGAATTGACTCTAAAAAAAAAAGAAAAAGAAATCAATATAGAACCAAGTCTGGAGATATCGGCTGGAAGTCTCAGGTATTTGGGAGGATGAGGCAAAAAGATTGAAACTTTGAAGCCTAACTTGGCTAAAAGGAATTCCAAACAAGCTTGGCAACCTAGTGAGTTAGACCTTACTTCAGAAGAGCTTGACCAGCATTCATTCAAAAGAACACAGATTCAATCCCCAACACCTACCCAAACAAAGAAACAGGAGAAAAAATATTACAAGTGAGCCTCAGCAAAACAGTTTGTCATTATAAATTCTGAGTACTATAAAATATAGAAAAACACACATGGGATTATGAATGAGAAACCAATATCAGAAGTATAGCATGTACCATGATACCATCTATGTGTTTTAGGTTGCTTTTCAGGGTGTGTGTGTGTGTGTGTGTGTATGTGTGTGTGTGTGTGTGTGTGTGTGAGAGAGAGAGAGAGAGAGAGAGAGAGAGAGAGAGAGAGAGAGAGAGAGAGAGAGAGAGGGAGAGAGAGATTATAGTGCTTGGAACTGAACCCAAGGCCTCATGCATGCTAAACACCCACTGGAGCTGAACTACACCACCCTCCCTTTTTTCTAAATCTAGTTTTTTGAGAATTTCATATGAGTAGTGCATTTATATTATCCCAACCCCTCCCTCTCTGGTGTGCTTTGGAAAATGTGTATTGGTAGAGAAAAAGTCTAGAATGAGGTTTTTTTTTTAAATCAATGGATGTTTTATGGTTTAAAATAAATAAATATTGGAACTGGTTCATCTCAAATTTTGTAAGGCGTTTGTTCATGGGTTTCCTTTGTCTCTGCTAATGTTGGGCTTCTAGAACAGTTTCAGCAAGTTTACACTTACTCTGAGCCAAGTCGCATTTCTGTTGCTGGAGACTCACAGTGTCCAAGCCCAAGGAACCCATGACCCATGGGGAGACTAAAACAAAAAACCATGATGTTCTGGACGTCCCCTCAGACTGAGGCTTGGGACACTGTCGGTGTCTTGATTCCAACTGCCAGCTCTACTGCAGATGTATAAAATTTGTGATGTGGATACCAGAAATGTAAGCTTGGCGTCTTCAGCCCTTTCTGCCCAGTCTACAGTCATTGGCTTCCTTGCCTCTTCCAAGGTTCAGCCTTTGGGAAAATGCTGTGTTAGTAAGCCTGGACTAATCTTGCAAAATGACCAGCGGTCTTTGCAAGAAGCTTCAGCACTCAGAGCAAAGGACAAACCTGAAGAATCTTCTACTAGACAGAAAACCCAGCCTACTACTTCCAGGTCCCTATGAGGTCTTTTCAAAACTATTGTTAGGCTATGCTGGAAATTCTCTGCATTCAGAAGCCTAGGAATTAGGATTTGGAGGGTGCATTCAACATCCCAGGCCCTGTCTGTAAAGGATGGATGGATTTGTCCCCAACCACACACTTCTTCTAAGGAAGAAGTGTTCTCAAAGTGTTTTGGGCCTTAAGGTTTAGGACAGGATAGGCAAGGATTTCAGAGGCATGGCACGGGTGCCCCGTGGGAGAGAGAAAAGCAGCAAATGACTTAATGGCTGAAGGGGATTTTCCTCCATCACCAAGGAACTCTAAATGTTTATGGTACAGGTTCTTCAGAGTATGGATAGCTCCAAGCATCCTGGCAGTGTGGCTTGCATTTCAGTGGCTAAGAGGCTGGCCTTGCCTTGCTTTTTCCAACTGTCTCAGGATTACCTCATTTCTATGTGCATATCCTTTGGGAAGTTAATTCTTCAGTAAATGAAGGGTAATTTGTTTTCATTTATTTTAATAACTCAGAGACATGAACTCATTTACTAAATTCTGATAAGAAGCAATTGCTAAGTAGGAAAAGTCTATGCCAGGGAGAGGATTTATAGTTTTCCTTCAGACAATACGTTGGACTCTTTTGGGATCCTTAAAAATTTATTGAGCACTAACTGTACTTAGGAAAACCTTGAGTTTTTTCTTTTTCTGATTTAATTTTCCAGGGAAAGGTTTATGGGTATTCTGATTGTGTGCAGTAGTCAGCAACTTCATGGTTGCCTTGACGTTGAAGCAGAAGGATGCCCCATTTGAGCCTCTGGTTCTTCCTCTTCATCCTTTGACTTTGTCTTTAAAACTTATTTTTCAGCACTAGTAAATTCCCTGAACTATCACCTCATCAGATGGCTAGGATAGGGTCTTATCATTCTGATTGTGGTAAACACAGCATTGCTTCCAGTGACACTGAAATTAATCACTTGCCTTTATTGAGATTTTTCTGTATTTCAGCCATTGTGCTTAACACCCTTAAGACATTAGGACTGAATCTCCCTCTTCCATCCCCTTGAGATGAAATTATAACTTTTCCAAACCACACAGATGACTCAGGACAGGATGGATTTGATTTCAAGATGTCTGACTCCATTTCTGCTATGGTAGATGTCTTTCTCACTCTGTTAGCAGGCTGAGTTCTGACACATTCACCCCTATTGGACAGAATAGGATCTCTATTGGTCTAAGTACCCTTTCTGCAGATCCTTAGTGTATACCCTCATTCCCCCACCCGCACCCGAAACGAAGAGGCAGTACTTACACATCACATGCCTCTTAAATGACAATTACAATGCAAATATGGAGAGAGAGAGAGAGAGAGAGAGAGAGAGAGAGAGAGAGAAAGTATCAGGGTTTTATACCTCTTGGGTACTTAGTTTGTAGAGTGACGGGATTGGAACTTCCAGCCTCCTCGCAGCACCTTCCTTCCAGGATCTCTAGTGCCAACGCAGACCAGGTGTGGCCTCTGCCATGCAGCAAGATGGAGTGGACAGCAGGTGGGAGGGAAAGGCAAGCAGCTCTGGGTCATCCTGTGATGTGGGACACTCTGAATGGTGGCTCCTGCTCCTCTGAGTAACCATGACCACGAGCTAAGGAAGTGGTCAGTGGAATCTGGGCGTGGTCATGTGCACACCTGCACTCTCAACACTCCAGAGAACAGGAAGACACTGGGTTCCAGACAGCCTGGGTCACATAATGAGACTTTCTCTCCAAACTGTTTTGTTAGGAGGGTGGAGGGGATGGGAGGAGGGACTGTGTGATGAGAGAACTAGAAGGGGGAGCAGCAATCAGGATGTAAAATGAATGAATATGCTAATAGAAAAAAATTAGTAAGGAAGAAAAAGGCCAGCATCAGAAAACTCTTGAGAGGAGGCTGGCATGGAAGTCCAACCCAGTCATACTCACAAACACCTTGGTATTGAGGCCACTCGGTGTAAGGACCACTAACATCTACACAGTTTGGTTATTTAAGATATCTAATAATACCTCTTATTATCTGCCAGGTAAAGAGCGAGGGGCAGTATAGGGAGGCCTTCCATCCCATAGCCTCCTTTTCAAAAGTTTGGTCGTACCCATTTTATGGGTGGGCTGGGGAAGTAAGCCACTTGTCTACCGTCCCTGAGGCAGATACAGGACAGGCTGGAATCTTTTACTTCCCCGCCTCCCAACATTTCTCACTCGAAGCAGTTTGGATCTCAAGGACCAGGGCTGGATAGCTCTGAGGGGGAAGGGAAGCTGTCCTGTTACTTATGGGCAGTCCCATGGAGTTCTTGGTGTCTACCTGTTGCATATACCCCTGATACTGGCTGGGTGTCTCAGAATGTCTGTAGACATTGCCACATTTCTTCAGAAGATGCATAACCCCCACTGGGACCACTGATTGGTCACTCTGTGAGCAGAAACCCTCTTTACCTGTCATATTTGTAGTGCCTTAGCTGCAGAAGGATTTGGAAGTCTTATTATTTCCTATTTATAAAACTGGCAGGGAGAAGAAACCCTGAGGCACATCTCTTAGAACTTTCATCTGAAGACCTAAGATGTGCTATTTCCTGGAAAAAACTATCAAGTGTCAGGGACATGTTTCTACCAATAGCTAATATACATAGACAAAGTAATACTGAGCCCCCTCCCCTAAATAATTATCATGAAACTGGGCAAAGAAAACAAGAATTTATTATGAAACAATTAGAGAATGCAAGACCAGATATTTAGAAAACACAGGAACGATACTTGTATTTTTGTTACAGATACCAGTATTTCCACTAAGTACCAACAACATGACATTTTATTTACTTATTTATTTCTCTTAAGTTTTGTTTAAGGCAGGGTTTACCTAGGTAATCCTGGTGGCCTGGTTCTGACTGCCATCCTCCTGTCTCAGTCTCCTAAGCGTTGATATCATAGGCAGGGCCCACCACACTCGGTTTATGCATGTCGAATTTTACTTATTCTTCATTACTACAGTAAATGAGGGACGTATGTATTTTGCCTTCTATTTTAGAAATGGACCAACTGAGGTTCTGAAAGGCTGAACTAACTCCCCCCCCCCGCCCCCCCCCGTGCTTGCTCGCTCTCTCCACCCCCCCCCCACCCCCCAGTAGTTAACTCTTTCATACTAGGATTTGGCTCTGAGTAGCAGCCCTCTGTTATCTCTTTGTTTTAACTTTTATCAAAGCTGTGGGTTCTCAGTGCTGGGAGAACGTAACCCTGAGAGCATGTTCAGGGTCACAGAACATTCTCAGCTCGGAAATTGCCAATGATGGATCTGGTTTTGAAAAAAAGGAGAGACTGGATCAGGATGTCTCTACTGCACTGGTTCCTTAGAGATAAATATCATTATCAAAGGCCCAGACCACACACCCTTGGGTCCTTTGGGAATTCTGTTCCTGAACTAAGGCTGGGGTGGAGGGGGGGGGGGGGTTACAGTAAAAGGGCTTGGCGGGGACGCTCTTCTTCAGCAGGCCAAGAGCGCCCTCTTCTGGCTGCTTTTGGAAACGCGCCTCTGCTTTGAACTCACACCCAGCGGTGCTTAGTACAAAGTGTGCTTGCTCTTCGCCCCAGGGAACTGGAAGCCCGGGAAACTTTGGCAGCTAGATCTTGTTAGAAAAATTACACTGTGGCATTTTGGTCGTGAAGGAATCTGATAATTGTGAGCAACATCAGGGTTACTGTGCTACGGAGGCCGACTGGAGGAAGCTTTGAGAGAGGATTTAGAAGTCAGTAAAGATGACCTGAGTGCTTTCTGTGTTCAGGAGGGAGTTAATCGGCTGTGATCCTGGGTTTCACCGTCTGTAAACAAAATCCCTACCTAGAAATCATGAATGTAAAGCGCCTGCCTCTGACAATGGAACAACAAAATACCTTCAACGATTAGCGGCCATCAAAATTAATTAACACCCTTCTGCTTACCAAAGTGCCTTTGAATGTGTCAGCTCTGCCTTGGTTGGTATGTCACATGGGCTGAAAGTCTTTTGTGTTGGCTTTGTGTTCCAGGGGCGTTTTAGCATCAACCTTTATGGGACCGGACTGTCTTTAACCGAGTCTGCCAGATGGACATCACAAGGGAATTATGCCGTTTCGGACATCAAGAAGTCTCCGGTAAGGCTGCGTACTGCTTGGGTGATAGCTCTTGCTTTCCTCTTCTGAATACGGTGGCTGTGGACTGAAGGAGTAGAGCCGGTGTGCTTTCCCATTCACCGTACTTTTTTTTCCCCCAAAGTCCCAGAGAGAAAATTTAGAGCACAAATACAGGAAGGAATATAGAGGTGGGTGAAGCAGGAGAGACTCGCTTCACCTGGCTGAAGCTTTTCCTACCTAGTAAATGCGAAGCCATCCAAGCACTTGGAAAGACTACTGAATCAAAAAGGGCAGGGCTCTAAGATACACACAGTTCAAATATCTTAACTAATCAAACGTGACTCATCTATGTGAACCTCGAAAAATGATGTTTTGGTTTGATTTTGTTCTGCCCAGAAACAATTGCAATTTCAATAGGAAGAGGTTATGGGGTGATATTTTCTAGGAAGTTAGGGATACAATAATCTACTTTTTTTTTCCACCGTGAACCAAGTGCATTTAGCATGTCAGCAACCCTGGAACATGTTGGAAGGCAGGTGCTTGGGCCCTGATCTTCTGGGTCCAATTCTGTAGCTGAACAAGCCCCAGGTGGTTGACAAACACAGCACAGCCAAAGAATCACCCACCCTGTGTAGCCACCTGGGAAGTTTAAATGTACCCTCTGGTCCCTCTGACTAGGTTAAGGGGATCCAAACCTCTGGGGCTGTGTCTCCATGGTGACTCTGAAGGATGGTGAGGCAGAAACTCCTCCTTAAAGCCCTTCCACTGAGTTATCAGGCCAGTGCAGCACCTAGTCTCCTGGAGATGAGAAGATTCCTAGTTCCTGTTGAGGAATTGCACACGTGAGCTGAGAAGAAAAGAAAGAGGGGGAAGAAAAGAGATCTGAGTCCAGAATAATGTGACTGAGGAGTGCGGCTACCTGGCTAGAACTCCAGAATGTCAGGTCAACTGTGGAATGGTTTTTTACTATTTCCCTAAGCTTGTATAGGATATTTACATATTTTTAAACAGTCTGTCCCCAAGTATGGGGTATACCTCTGTAACTTCACCACTAGGGAAGCAGAGTAGGAGAGCCTTCAGTTTAAGGCAAACTTGGACTACATAGCTAGACCCTGTCTCCTCATGACCAGTACTACAAATGATGGCACCTAATGGTAATGTGTTGTTTACCTGAAATCCATATTTGACAATCATTTGGTCTTTCACTTGCTGAGTTTGGCAACCCTCCCAAGTGTGTTGCCTGGGGTTAGAACCAAAAAATGAAATAGCAACTCACTGATCCAAAGCCCTAGCACAGGGGAGGTCCCACACCGCGTCTCAGGACAATGTGTTTCCTGACTCCTTTTTAAACTTCCAGAATCCTACCTGTATCTCAGGTCCTGGTTTCACCACAAAGCTAACCAGGGATCACAAACATGATTCAATGGCCTCGTGATTCCTATGATTTAATAGTAAGTATTGCCCTCCCGCCAAACGGAATAGCGACAGCTGTAATCTTTGACTGAGCCCTGACATCACGATATCTTTCCCTACTACTCCCCACCCTAACCCCAGTCTTATAGATTTTTTATAGGAAATAAAATTAGTATATTTTATTGTGTTCATGTTTTGACAGGCACATTATGTCTCAATGACCAGATTTGAAAATTTTAACTGTTTTAGATGTGGTTGAATGAAATCATATTTGTAAACTATATATGTTGCATTTATACATACATACATACATACATACATACATACATCATACATACGTTACAATTTTGCTAGACATGTCAATCAAAATTGAAATTTCAGCTAGAGGCTAAAAATAACTAAAGGCTGGAGTGCCATCTTATGGACATGTTGAGTACTGCAAGGCTGTTCTCCACCCTCTGAGAATTCTGCCTGAGCTGGCTGCTGGAGATCTCTCTCTCTCTCTCTCTCTCTCTCTCTCTCTCTCTCTCTGTGTGTGTGTGTGTATGTGTGTGTGTGTGTGTGTGTGTGTGTGTGTGTGTGTGTGCGTGCAATACATGCACAAGAGTGCACTTGTAGGTAGGTAGAAGCGGGGACTGCAGTCTTTCTAGCTCCTGGCAAACCAGAGCCAGGGCCTTAAAGCAGCATCCCCTACGAAAATGAACCTCCAGAATTGTTATGGTTGGGGAAAGTACACGTGGTGTTCTCTCCCTGAAGAACACCTCCTACCTCCGAGACTCAGGGATCATCTCAGAGAAGGAGATGAGAGCATTGTAAGAGTCACAGGGTGTGGATATCTGCAACAAAAGTGTCAGAGTTGCACTCTGTGAACTCGCAATGGCTGTGGCTTCATGTACAGCACCTGCACAAAATCAGACCAACCCCAATCCAGCATGGAGAGAAGAGGGGCTCAGGAAAGCCACCTGAGGAGCGATTGGCAGCTGATAGTTGCTGGGGAAGGGGGTCAGTTTCCCTCAGGGATACAGCCCAAGACCACCTATGTTCCAGTGCATCACACCATGTCCACACAATACAGTCAGCTGCCCATGGGCTCAGTGGGTTTTAGAAACTAGAGAGAGGAAACATGAGGTTAAATGTGGCGGTGGGGGGATAGGGAAGGAACCGGAGGGTGAGAACTGGGTAGATTCAGTCAGAACACATTATATACATATGAATATTAAATGAGATAGTTTTTAAAATTCAAAGCAAAAATTTAAAAACCATTGAAACATTACCTTGTTAGTGACAACAGTAAAAGCCATTGGTGAGATAGGCATGTGACTTTATTTGCAGCTGAATCCTTCACAAGAGGGACGTGTTGCAGTGTCACCTGCAAGGGTTAATAAACCATCATCCTGCCCCACACACTTGGTTCTTGGCACTGGGAATAGATGCAGGGTTCACCACATGCTCTGTCACTGAACTACATGCTGAGCCCTCAAAGGTCCATAATCCCTATAAGAAACCAGAAATATACATCTCTAATGTTTTCCAGCCTGATGTCATACTCCACACTGTAGTCAGTAACTACAGGTTGAAAACCTTTGTCCTAAATTAAACAACCTGCTTTTCACACTTTGCTTGTAATATATTCACATAAGCAAGTCTATGTGGAGCACTCTGGGAGTTATGTGATGTTCCACTCCCAGGCAAGGCCGTCCTTCAGGGAAAACCTCGCTTCTCCAAACCCTGCTTGGGAATAACACATTCTCCTGAACAAAACTACAAGAAGATCTCAGTGATGTAGGCTCAACCTGGATCTGTAGTGCGACCGACCGGAAGCTAGAGATGCCACCTCATTCCTGGGAACAGTTTCCACACACTCCCTAAGATGAAGTGCAAAGAACCCTGACACCTGTCTTCCCCTAAGACAAATTACGATTATCATTCCAATTCAGAGGTTCCCCTTGTGTCTTGAAGGCCCTCAGGAGATGCTGAGACCAGACTCTAACTACTGCCTTTCCTCTGTCTGCTCATTCCTATGAAGGCTTGATTAATGAATAAGTGACAGTAAGAGATTAACAATAGCTTCTCGTAACAATCAAAGCAATTATAATAGCAAGTACTATAAACGGATGTGTGAATATGTGTGGTACAAACGCCCTGTGCTCGCCTCCTCTCATGATAGTGCTACATGCGGTGCCTACGTGACAAAGCGTATGGGCAAGCGCCGTGAGGTAGCGCTGGGCTACGTCAGAGTTCCCTGTTCCCTGAGCATAAACCGATAGCAATTGATGGGGTAGCAGAGATGCTCTGAGTTACTAAGGAGCAGGTAATAGATACGCTGGACAAATGGGTGGGTGGGTCGTGTGCCAGGTAAGGTAGGGCGTGATGGTGAGAGGCTTCGTCATAGTCAGAGCGGCATGAATGTTAAAACTTAGGATTTTTTTCTGAGAATTTCTATGTATCATGTCCAAGCCACCATTGACTGTGGATAAACAAACTGAGCAACATGAAACCCTGCTATTAGCAGGGTTTCCAGAGCTGCTCTTTGTTGGGAAACTTACACATTAACTCTGGGTCTGTCCCAGCTTAACGAGACAGCAAGTGAGAACAAGGATCAATCTGAGGGGATCAGATTGAAGAGGTAGGCTGACAGTTACACGCTTGATAATCACGATGGGCTCAGTCTGTCCTGTAGCAGCTCAGCCATTGGCTCTTTGGTGAAGGCCCTCCATAGCTGCTGAGAGAAGAGGCCTCCTCTGCCCATACAGGAAGTCTGCACACACACAGTGCAGGTGGTCATCGACATCGTCACCTTGGCTTCTTGTGAAACCAGGGCAGACAGCAGGGGCATAAGCAACAGCCAGTGATGTTGCGGCATCTTTGCAGCTTTGTGGCTTACTGTTAACTTGCAGAAGCTAGCTGAGGCTGCCTGCTGTGGGGAAAGAGACTGCAGGCTGGACCTGGGGGAGCTGATCCAGGTCAATGATTGCTTGGAGGTCTGATGACTTCTTACTGTCTCAGCTTAGAGCTCTGCATAAGTGGCCAGAAGTGAAGCTGTGACTAGGAGCTGAGGCGTGAGGGAAAATTCCAAGTTCTGAGCTCAGCTGCCAGGAACATTCTGGTCCCTTAACCCTAACTGTGCTTATGGCATAAAAGGACTCCTCAGGTCTGTTCTGAGTTCTGCTGTGGCCCTGTTCACCATCCTCAGTACTGTCTGCCTGGTGCTCTTTCAGGGCAAAGATCTTGAATAGGTCTCCAGGGCCAGGGAGCTCAAAGAAAGCCCCCTTCTGGCTGGTTGGTGCTCAAGGGGTCTTCTGCCTTCCTTATGTGCCTGGAGAATTTTAAGGCACAGGGAGCCTGCTCTCTACCAGGAATTCCTTGTGCTATGCAAAGGATTGTAAATAAAATAATTGCTTTGTAAGATAATGAATGTTATGTGGAACAAACAGGCCTTTCCTACCTCTGAATTCTTTTACAACAACTGAGTCAAGAAATGAACATACATGTTTGCACATGTGTGTACACAGTACAGTAGAATCTCATGTGTGTACATGGACTGCTCTCCAACTTATGAAAACCCACTATTCAGCAAGTATCCAAGACCTACAAAATGGAATTCCATA